ATATGGCTTTGCAATCACTCAAGTTGTCTGTTGCCCTAAGGAAATATAACAAGGATGTACTTTGTAAGCAACAAAAAAGGTAATCCATCCACATACCAGCTGTTAGTAATGCAGACATATAAGTGCAATCAATATCTTACACTCACAATATGTCCACTCCTTCATTACTATACAAATACTGTGTATATAAATAAATTCAATACCATATATTATATACAACTCAATACATAACATATATGGTTTTTTATATTCTGTTAAAACCAAAATTCTCCGACACAATATATGAGAATATTAAATGAATTTTTCTCATATTTTCTTATTACTTTTCCTACATCTTACTAATTCTTACTAATATCATAAATGTGAATGTGTGGATTGATGGATGGATGGATAGATGAATAGATGTTTGTTAGAAGGTATCTCCATAAGGGCTGAACATATCCCACTGAAATTTGGCATGGATGTATAACATAATCTAGTAGAACACATAGGCTACTAATAAAGTTTTTTCAATTCTGTGTGGACGGAGATGCGGGCAACAGCTAGTAATTACATAATAATTTAAAAATTTGTTGCCAAATTATAACTGACAAGCAGTGGACTGCCCAGGTGGGATTTAAAAAAAATAGAAATAAATATAGCTTATGTCAAAAGAGGAAAGTGTAGCTTCCGAACATTGACACAATCTTTCAAATCAGTTTCCATTTTGGAGTCTAAACAATCAAATTTTTCCTCTTTATAATATTAGTATAGACTGCATTACTATAAAGTTTCATCATCAACATTCATTGGAAACTCACAAATAATTATGAGTCATTTAAATATATAGAGGAATAGAATTAAAATACATATTAAGGAAATTTGCACACATTGGATATTCATAAAATGTTTAAATTAAAATAGCAAATGTTTTATTTTAAAGGTTAACTACTCTGCATAAAGCACCAATATCTTTGGAAATAATGATATTAGTTGCTATAATCTCTTTTAAATGAGTAAATTGTAAAATATATTGGGGAATTAGCCTTATATATATCAGAAAACTTTATATTTTTAATATACACTATCCATACAAGTTGTATTAACTACGGTGTTTGGTATATGTTTGAAAAAGCATTGTTTGTACACTTAATTGTTTAACTTTTTTAGTACAAAGTTAATGATCCAATAAACTTTTATCAATGTAATTGCTCATTGTGCATTACATGCAAGTGGTGCACTGAGGCATACTACTTAATGTGTTTATTATCATTGTTATGCTGTGAGCTGTTTGTATTGATAAATAAAACAAAAGTTTGTTTTAAATTTTAGCTTTTTATATAATTCTTAAAATCTTCAACTGGGCAATTGTAATACCAATTAAGATTTATATATAAACAAATGTATATGAATATTTATGTCTGTCCTTACCTTTACTATGTTGTACTTAAATTATCATCTAATTTATACAAACATTTTGGCACAAGTAAACAAATGTACTAAACTGTTGCATACACTAGGGTTACTTTCAATGGAATACAGATGTGTAAAACTATAACCTATACGGTTTATTTTACTTATCCCGCGTGTTTCCACAAAACAGAATTTGAAATATAGGATTAGTAGGAAAACGGGTGGGCACAAAGCCAACATATTTTTAATGGCAGTCACAGTAAATGACATCATACTTACGGAGACAGTTTAAAGATGTAAACACATCACTATGACATTCACCACGGCGTTTTGGAAACCACCGGCTTCGTCAAGGGTTCACTTTTTATCTATCTAACTTGGTCACAAAAGAACAAACATCGACAATTTGCAAATATTAAATAATACGGACCACTAAATCACGGCCTACACGAATCAGTTAAATGATATCATAAAATCACACTCATATTAATTACAGAGAACCTGTTGGCACAATATTCAATTTTGCACTATAATACTAACAATATTTCCATCAAAAAGCAACAAATAAAGCATTTATTCTAAAAATTATTGTAAATGACATGCATGCCATTTTTTTCTTGCCTTTTAAAACCGTTGCGTTCAAGAACCAACTTTGAATTGTCAACTACGACAACTAAGGTTGCGTTCAGGGAATGTCGCTAGAACTTTAATTTTATACGCAACATTTATATTAAAACTTTTTTTATTATTAAAAATTATCGCGGTTAAGATATTAGCAATCCCAGTTTGTTTCAATTAAAGAAGATGTAACTACAAAGATAAGCGACGAATGCCTTTTTTATAATCAAATTGAAATTCAATTATAATAGTTTTCTCATGCTGAAGTTTATGTGCTTATGTGTCGCTAAAGAAACTTTAACTTCAACATTTAAAATGACAGGTACGGGGAAGGGAGCCACGAAAAATATTTAATTCCAATGTATTTATTGACATTCATACATAGTTACATAAATCATTCAAAGTAACATTACACTAAAAGTACACTGACAAAATGTAATAAACTAGAGCAATCTAAATCTAGTTACTATAACAACTTATGTCTTTTATTCACTCTTGGTCTTAGGAGCATCCTCTTTGTAGTAAAGGAACACAATAGAAAATAGAAACACGCCAATCATCATGGAAAATGCACTGACATAATATGGGTAAGCACTAGGAATGAAGCGCTCATATTGTGTATGCTGCAGTGGCCGCACAGATACCTAAAAAACATTTTTTTTATTAATTCAAAATAATCAAATGAAATTTTGTACTTTTTAAACTATACACTGCTACCAGAAGTAGGTAAATGCCTCTGTTATGACTTAAATCATTATAAAATGAATTCAAACAAACCTGTGTGGTATGATAAAGCCGAGTATAGCCAATTCTATCATAGTCCACTTTGAATTGGTATACACCCCACACATCTGGCACTTTGAACACAGCTTCATACACTCCATTAGGTTTCTTCTGCAGTGTTGTACGGATGAATGGATCAATGCGGACAAATTCTAGTTGAACATCATTTGCATCAAATGGTTGCCATTTACCATTCTTCAGCTCTTCAATTTCAATTCTGTAAACCTGCAATTAGTGTAGAACCAAATGTTTAGCTGATAGTATGACCAAAATTCATAGCATAAGAAAAACTAAAAATTACTATTAACAAATACATACAACAGTATCAGTGATGGTGTATGTGTTTGAAGACTCATTTTCGCCCTCTCTATTGTGGTGCACGCGTCTAACACGTAGGCGTCCTCGTTCTCCAAATGCCCACTCACTGAGATGTACAGCAAGAGCCTTATTGCCGGAAAGATCGCTTTTCATTTTATCACCCTAGAATCCAAACATAAATTACATATATTCAAATAGCATAAAAAACAGTAGAAACTATATAAAACATATAATTATTCACCATACATTCATTTGGGCACCCCAAATATCTGAGATCGTAGCTAAATTCCATATAACAGTTATAATGCCCCTATATTTTTGTTAATAATTGGTTTTGAAAATTTTAACAACTTACATGCACTTTAGCTACTGGAGAGTTGAAGGCATCATCAGAGAAGAAGAACAAAGATCCACTGAAGACAATGCGGGCATTATTCCTGGCTTGCAGGGCGGCAATCAGGACTGTCTTTCGCCCTACTGCATGGGGATACTCTTTAACCTGTTAAATAAAGAATATTGTCTCTTTGATAATCAAATAAATATATTGACATAACATAAATAAATTAACTGACAAGTAAGTGTTTGCATGTCAGTAATTTGAGCTTACCTGACTCTTTGGATTATAGCTGTAAGCAGTGCTATCAGCGGTGAGAATAGGCAACACTAAGCTATTATCTTTATCGAGAATCAGTCCTGTTCCCTCAAACAGCAGCGGCTGAGTGTTGTGCTCACCCACAATAGTAGGTGCTGTTATAAGATTCTTTGGTGACACCACTATTCTGGTATGATCTCCATCATCTAACATGTCATAATTGAAATGATCTATTACCGCTGCAGATTCCTCATCCATCTAAAATATTTACAAAATATATTAATTTTAATACAAGTATGAGAAAATGCTAGATTTTTATATGTCCATCATAAGTAGTGGCAATGTTACTTAACTCTTTAAGTTTGGAATTTCAATTCCTAGTAAAAAATAATGCAATACAACCCAATGTTCAGAAGAGAATGTGCTCTATTTAAAATTAAAAAGTATACTCTACCTCAAATCCACATTCAGTAGCAATTTCTCTGTACACGTCGCCTGCAGCTGCATTGCCTGCCACCAAAACATTGCCACCATCATCTATAAATTTGGTGATAGCTTCTGTGTCGATTTGCCCTCCAAATTCCACCACAGAAGGTGAGAATATTATAAGATTTTTGTACAAATATTCGCCATACTTGGAGAGAAGTAGATTGCCGTCATCGGCCAACTTGAATGTGAGAACGTAACCACGGTCTGAAAAATGAAACCACCACTGTTATTTGATGTTTTGTAAAGCGGAAATTGTTTTATACAATTCTCGACAAAATAGAGTTGAATTAATCGAAATTGTGGATAACCGGCATTTTGCCTAACCCAAGAATGTTTTACCTTGCAACGATTTAAAGAATTGCGAGTGAGTTTCCCTTATATTAAGGTTATCGACCAAGACTAAAGTTTCTTGATCAGCTATTGCTATATTTACGCAGATAGCTAGCCCTAAAATTAGAGAAAACTTCATTTTGAGAAAAATATTAAATCCACTATGTACGACGTGTCCCTTTACTTTTTTTTCTTATTGACAAATGTTGCCTTTTTCTTTTCTATTTTCGATTTTAATGTTTTATTTACTCTATGGTTTCCAGTTTCCATTTCGCAAATATTTTTACATTGTCACACTATAGTTAAGTAAATTAAACTTCTTAAGTTCATAATTAATTTATAATTAATTATAATTTTCCTGAAAATAAAAGTTTTTAGTCTCAAATAACTATCATATCATATAGGTTAAATCTTTTGTTTCATCTAATATATTTTATATCTAGCAAGTCCATTCCTTTAATCAGTTATAATCTGCGCTATATTTTGATTGACATTTACTTAAAATGTTTTATTTTTGTATCAAAAGCAAAACTAATAATCTTAAAACCAGTTAATTTTAACAAAGTTTTGTTCGGTTTTTTGTAGTCTTCCAAATAGTCCAATATTAAAATGATATCGCGATCTAAACACCGCTCAACAGTTGAAGTTTGTTCGGACTGCGGGGCATCAGGTCTGGCGGTGTTGTAATTTCTTTAAGTGGTATAATTTAATCCTGTGTTAATTGTCTAATGTATATGGTGGGTGCCGCCTAACATTGCGGTTTCAGATCCTACGTGGGCGTCGATCAACCGTGGGTTGTTACTTTGCGCAGAATGCTGTAGTGTACATCGGAGTATGGGAAGACATATTTCCCATGTTAAATCGCTGCGGCAAGGTTCCTGGCCACCCTCTTTACTAGCGGTATGACAATAAACTTAATTGTTCTGTGATTTGTGGCCTGTACGCTTAATCATTATCTAGACGTTGTAAATATTTTGTTATGTTTTGTAGATGGTGCAGTCACTTACAGCTCAAAATGTGAATAGTATATGGGAACATTCGTTATTGGACACTTCAGCGCCAAAACACTTGCGTAAAAAACCGCAACCCAAAGATCCACTACAGTGAGTTATTTAGAAATTGTTATGTAAATAAAATTTATTTTATAAATATATGTATTTATGATTTTATTGTTGACAACTATGAAATATGCAATGCTGCTGCAATGCTGTAATGTCTAATGATAATTATTTTTTTTCTCAAGGTTTGCAATGGTTTGGTTTCATTAAATTCCTTTGATAACAATTTTTTGTCTTAATTTTAGCAAGAACATAATGATAAAATACTTTTATAGACCCACTGTGCAATTTTATCTTTAAAAATCTTATGTATCCGTAAGCTATAATAGTTTAAAATGGACTTGTTATTAACCCTGGGAGTATTTCCAGTAAAGATAAGACTGCAGAATTATCAATGCAACTAATACCTTTGACAAATGCTGCATCTTAGACAATTACATAAATTATATTATCTTTTATTTACCAAGATTGACTGTAGTAATTTCCTCTTAGTTATATTAAATATATAATACTTGGGTAAAGATATAAGCAAAAATAGATAGTCCATGCCATAAGTCATGTTAGTAAGCGTTCTTCAGTCTAAAAATAGTATGGATTATACACCTAGGTTTCTTTGCTAGCGTATTTACTACTATGTAGCATAATTAAAATACTTGTTTATACTTTTTCAGTCCGATAAAGTCAGAATTCATACTGGCAAAACACTTGCGCTTGGCATATGTTCTGAGAGCCAGACGAGACGAACCACCCAGTGAGTTGGGCAGACAGCTGCACAGTGCAGTCAGGAGCTCCTCACTTGACACAGCTATGCGGTTACTGGCACAAGGTGCTGATCCCAATTATTACAATCAGGTTAGTGCATGTGATATTGATAATAATATTTACACTATATAGCAAGTTTATGCTTTTTTATCTACTTTATATATCAATATTAACAGCATATCATAATTAAAAATATTATTTTACTTTATTGTTAAGAATGACGATGCAAGTACTTTATATAACAAGTTAATAGTAAACTAATTTATGTATGTTTTAGGAGAAGGGAAGTGCATGTCTCCATGTAGCATGTAGAGCGGGCCAGCCAGCACAAGCCGAGCTCTTAGTAGCCTGGGGTGCAGATCCCAATACAAGAGATAGCTCCGGAAATACACCTGCTGATTGTGCAAGGTATGTTATTGGCTTTTCAAGTATTCATATACATAATGCAGGCCTCCGGTGTATATGATATCTTTCAAACAACTATACTACAATATCCTCTTATTTTCTGACTCACATAGACATTTGTTAATTTACATAAATAGCTGTGGTAAGCCACTAACAACAAACACAAGCAAACTAATTGTTTACTTTTATTTCCATGAAAAATATGACAAACATAACATTGTTTTTGCAATGTTTAAATAAATATTTTGATTTATAACCAATTGATTATTGTAAATAAATAAATAATTGGGTATATATGCGTTGTTTAGACAAGGTGGGCATATAGAGCTAGCGGAGAGAGTCACAGAGTTGGTGTACGAGGCGACGGATCGTATGATTGTATTCCTGACTGGCGAACGGCCTGCACACGCCGCCGGCCGGCACTTCTTGATACCACGGGCGCACGACACGCACGAGATGACGGATGTCGCTAAAGCGGCAAGAGGCAAGCTGCAACTGGTGAGTACCAGCTTGCATCTGCTTAGTTGTGGTCCGCAGTTCCCACTCTTAGTGTGATTTTTCTTTTTGACCATTTGATATTCTGTTGTATTGCATGATATGAATTAAAAGATCAAGTTAACAGTTGACATATTGTTATCACAGCTACCAAATCATCTTTTTGAAGAGTTGGTGATGGACATTTACGATGAAATTGATCGGAGAGAGACTGAAGCGAGTAAGTAATATACTTTCATTATTAAACTGTATTATTTTTCAGGAAAAGTAAAATAAACGAAACATTACATTTAAAGTGATCCTGGAATGCAACAGTAATAGTAGCTATTTTGTTGAATAAAAAAGCAAGAGAATAAGGACTTATTTTTCACACCATTTTTGCTGTGCTCGTTTAGTTTGGCAAACCGAGGCGAGCGGTCTGGAGCGATGCGGCGTAGCGTTCCTGCCGGTGAACCCTGCGCTGTCCGCGCCGAGGAACCAGGGCCGGCAGAAGCTGGCACGCCTCTCCGCGCCCGAGCTGGCCGCGCTACTGCGAGATGTGCTGCTGGATGCCACCAGGCGGCAGCGGTTGGCGACACTCCATCCCAGAGGTACACTTGGAGCGCCTTTAGTAATCGCAGAAGAGTGGTAGTGAGACCTATCGTATCTTTTATTCAAAGTACAACAACAACTATTTGAATCCTTTCATAGAAAAATAGTGTGTAACAAATGTATGTTCACAGCACCTGGTGGTCCTCTCAACCCATTGCTGTCTGCAAGTCATTTGAAGCACATGTCACAAATGTCAGACGATGAGCCCCTTTATGACTCCGTGGCCTCTGACGACGACTACGCGGCTCTCACACCTATAGACCTAGATGTAAGTATATGCATAAATAAGTAACTACTTACGTAAGGTTTCCAAACTACATGTACCTAAAATTGACAGTTACAGATGACGAACATTCATCCAAGAACTGCAGAAGCTGTGTCATCAACCTACAACCCATCATTACCCAACGACCAAACGGACTCGAAGCGAACTCAATCACCTATCACATCGAATAACGCACCGGAACACATCGAAATCGAAACACTAAAAAAGGAACTCGACAATAGAGATTCAACGATCACGGAACTCAAGAATCAATTAAAGAATTTACAAACGATAGTTGAACAGCTGACGAAAGAAAATAGTGTATTAAAAACTACTAGTAGTATAGATGATGACCAGAGCATGACGTCACAGACTTCTATAAGTGAGAGTGGTGTGTTGGAGGGGAAGTTTCCAGAAAGAGGGCGGAGTCTAGAGACGGACCAGCTGACGTTGAGCGAGGAGGTTGACGTGCGACAGAGCTCGAAGCCCCAGCGACCGGTCAGTATGTATGAGGCTAGGGAGGGCCCAAAGAATAACTGGCAGGTTACTAAACATCAGGTACTAATTCAGATTAATTTTACTAATTTTTATAGTTTTTTTTTAATCTATAGAACTTAATTTATGAAAAATAAATTATATTTCTTAACAAATAATTAGTAGTTAGATTATAATATTAGAAGTCTTTAGTCTCCTACATATTAATTTGCTTAATAACAAAAGTTAAAATAGCAAAAATAAATATATGTAGTTTTGTAGAGGCTTTTAAGTAGATTTGGCATTGCTTTTATTATTACTATGTTTTGAATGCATGATTTAAATTTAATTTAATTTTTCATTATGTTAAAAAATATAAAACTTATTTTGTGTTATCGCAAAAAAATTACATACTCCATTCAAAATTTGACGATGATTTCCTTAGTTAACAAGTCTGCCGGGTCTGGAGCGGTCGCTGACGCAGAGTGCTTTAGACGGCGAAGAGGGCGTGTCGCTGGGGGCAGAGGGCGGGGCGCTAGCGGGCGAAGAGGCGGTGCAGCGGCGTGCGGAGGCGGTAACGCGCGCCATACAGGACCTGTGGGCCGCCGCCCGTCTGCAGCAGCCCCATTTGGCGGACCGTGCACAACACATACGACGTGCTGTGCGCGCTCTCTTAGCACTATTCCCACAGGTATTATAGCATGTTTATTAATTTTTCTTTTTAATAGACAGAAATAGTCATGATATTAAATTTATATTTAATCTTGTACAGAATTGCTCGGACCCGACACTGCAGGAAGTGGTGTACAGCTTGCGCGTGGCAAGCGAGGAGGTGCAGGCGGCGTGCGCTGCGCCCGCTTCGCTGGACCGCGTGCGCGCCGCCGCCTATGAGCTGGCGCGCGCCACCAAGCTGCTCGTCACCCGCGCGCACCCCTCCTAGCGCCCGCTCCCCGCGCGCGCGCACGACACCCTTTAGTGCCCGCGCACGGCCCTGACACCTGACATGTGCCTCAATGGCACCATGTTATAGTGAACAGTGTACTAACATCATTGTGAACAGTGTTCTAACACCATATTAAACAGTGTTCCGAGTTTTTTTTTGTGACCGTTTACACTACTAGAGAAGATCAATGTATTATATTAATATAAAGTGTCTTAAAGATTGCTATTTACAGACACAGTACTTATACTTACCTTCGGAAATGAAAAACATACTAAGAATATCTATCCTTATCTGTGCTGTGCATCTGCACATACATAATTGTGAAGAAATTCTGAAATGTGTGTGAAATCAACTAATCAGCACTGTGCAAGCATGGCTGAGTAAGAGCTAACCCCTAATTCCGGAATAGCTTGACAGCCTCGGTGATGATAGGGGTGAGATCACAATGTCTTTTTACTTGTTTTACTAGATTTAGTACTGGTTTGAAAGCATTATCTTATCGTATGAAATGGTTTCGAATTCAGACTAGAGCTAAACGGTTTATAATAAAGCTTGATGGACATAGTTTCATATGTAATAAGGTATCCAATATTAAAGAAGGAAGTAACTATTGGTATTTGTTAGGACAATTTATGATATGCATGTGTTCAAAAAGTGCTGTTCAATGTTATTTGCTGATATAGTGTTAAAGATATATTATCATGTTAAGTATTAATTAAATATTGTCACTTATATGTGTCACTTAGTTTAGAATTTAGATTATAATTCACAATGCCAGTGGTCAGATTTCATAAACAAAATGTTTGTCCAACATTTGATCAATAGTTTCAAGAACGTTCTTAAACAGGGAGGCAAACAAGGAGGTTATAAGTGTCTTGTATGGAATTGTATGAAATAGCTAATTTTTTATTTCATGAGATAATTGTATGAGCTTGTAAATCTTACAGTTAGGTGATATATAAGGCTTAGCCTAACCCAGAACTATCCAGATATTGCAAAATGTTTGTCTTAAAGATACGGCTTATGTATTCCGAGATCCTATTCTAGCAGTTTACCCCTGTCAATCATTTTCTTATATGAAATTTGGGAAGGAACATGTCTATAGACATCAGTCACTTTACGTTTACCACTTTACAAAGTTATTTTACTGGTTGTAACAATATAGTACTTTCTTAAGTCATTTAGGATTTGAAATGTCTGGGTTGTATTAATCTATGTTATTCTTTTGATTAAATAGGAAGATATGTTTCTATACAAGGTGTTTTAGTAATGGAAATTCACAGTGAAACATTTATATACTTGTGTATATATTAATATTTTGTAATCTGTTACTTCCTTTGTTCTTCCATAAGATTAATTTAACAGATGTAATAATTATTTTTATTACATTCTCTAAGGATATTTGTAAATTACTGAATAGGTTTTGATTTATTGTACTTCTTCAAATCATTACAATAATTTATTTGAAAATTTGACATAAAATTTAGAGTATTTAATGATTTTTATAATAATTTAAATTAAACATTTTATTGATTGCATAAGAGCAAAAAAATTTTCGATATACCTTTACAGAAATTGTACATTTAAAGTTGAAGAATAAGACAATTAAAATTTTTTGATTAATATGAAAATTGTAGATATTCTGAAAATTATTTCACTACAGTATTATTTTTTACGGATTTTTTTTTAAATAAAAGAAAAGTATGTCTTGTTGTGTGAATGTAAAAGTGTTGAATATAATTAAGTAATTTTGATTTTGTACCTTACCTTCTTTACGTCATGGTGCAAGTCAATATTGATTGAAATTACGCTGTTTCTTATATGTTTTACACCATATTGCAAATGTTATGTTAGAAATTTTATTTTCTTTGTCACAAAGCACTTTGATATATTGTGTTCTTATAGCCAAAGAATTTTTGATGATGGTTAGAGAATACAGTTTTATTTATATATGTATTTTTAACTGATTGTTGGACTTTATCAAACTGAAAGGTTATGAAAATTTGCTTGATTAGACACTGAAATTTTCCAATTTTTTTGTGTATTTTCGTAAATAGATCATCTACCAGGAATTATCATAGAATGGGTCTAGATTAAATGTTTATATTTTAAGTGTACCTGAGGTTGTTTATAAACTAAGTATTTATTTTTCTTCTCTTTACATCCATGAAGTATACGATTGAGTGAGACGGAGAATAACGTGAAATATTGTAAAATATTATTTTTAAATTTTTTTTATTACTAATGGTTGTTTTATACCATGGTGCAAAGCTTCATCTTTTATTTTGAATATGACTTAATTAAATACAATTATACTTATTTAAATTTCTCTTATGGTAATTTCACCTTGAAACCTTTTGCATAATACCATCCAGAGTGACATTTTGATTTGAAGGCTTGTAATTAAGGACTTTTGCCTTATTCGTATTATCGTCTTAGCTTTATGTTGATTGTGGAAATATAAGCCAAGTGTTGATATGTATAGGTGCTTGTAATGTTGTCTTACCGTAGGATTCCACTGCTGTGACAGTTCTCTAAACATTGTCATCCCTTTCATTCTCTTTGGAAAAACAGAGACAGTGGCAGTGTGGTAGTGTAACTCTACGGTAATAGCAGCGCTATGGCGCTCGTCGACTTCGTATTCGTGCCTCGAACGTTATTTAGTGTAGTTAGAATAAACAAGCAAGTTGTAAACGGCTTGTTCAAGTCGTCTTGTAGATTTTTATACGAGCGTTTCATAATGTTCTATGTATGTTGATAGATACTTGTATAGAGAATTGTTGCGATGTGAAATTTATAGTTGTGATTTGTGTACACATTTAGTTCTGCAAATGGAGCATTGATTCGGTTTTAAATTTGTGTGTAACTAATATTTTAGCATCTGGATTTTCACGTTTTTGTTACATTACGCTACGCCTGGTGCTAATTTCCGATTTAGGAGAAATAATTTTGGAAATTGTTTTATCAGTACTATTAAGTTAGCGTTGAACGGTACATAAATGTTTTCGCTAGATGGCGCTGTCAATATTTTTTATTACAAAATATTTTTTTTTTATTTTTGGCAGTAATTTGTGGCAGCGGTTTTTGCAGAGTATGTCGTCTTAAACTTCATTTGCAGAACTATTTGATTCAAACGCTTATAAGGAATGTATTAAAAAATAATAATTTATGTGAATTATATACGAAATGAGTATTGTGATCACAAAAATGTGCCAATGTCTGTTTATATTTTACAAAATAAGCTTTCATTATTACAATTATGTAAAAAAAATCACTGGCACACAAATTATTTTGCATTTTATAACTACATTTCACACAAACAAACTAGTTTTGTCTCACCTAACCTAATAATGAGAGACAGAGAAGACAAATTCTCACGCCACTGAAAGCGTATACAAATTCTATTTAAATTCATATAAATACAGAAATGAAATGGTGAGCATTGTCAAATGTAAACTTTAAAAAGCAATAAACTTCTACGTAAATAATACATTACATATATTTATTGTAATGTTGCAAAGTAATTTAACATGATTATAAACTATTCGTAATGGGATTTGTTTAAATTTTTAAATGTTTCAAATGAATAAATTTTATTATTAATTTTGACATCAAAAATTTGTTTTATTACCCCTAATTATTTAAACTACTAGATGTCCAAAGACATTTTATGGCTTGGTTAGTTTTTTTTTCTTTGAGATCGAAAGCATGAATGCCGTTTGACCTTTTATAAATCGGGCACATTGAGAGGAGTACAACAAAATAATACACATGTATAAATATTTATAAATTTATTATATTATTCACAACTCTATAGAAATTTGTTCACACATTTGTCTCGTTTTAAAAACATCAACCTTGAAACAAAGATTACCACAAAACGTCTGTCACTAATTGCAAAAGAAATACGAGACAATGTAATTTCAAACGACACGATACTTCGCAATGGTGTTTATTTTCCAGCTTAAGGTCGCACATACGAGACAATGATAATTTGGCATAACAAATGTTTTACCATACATTCATTAAAACAGTGTCATCTCAAAAGTTTAAATATACGAAGTTTGGTTACGGCCTAAACAATAGATCATATCCACATTTCCGATGTAGATTTATTTATCGAGTATGTTACAAAATTAGTAAATAAAATTATTAAAATAAAACATAATAAGTTACTATTACCATGATTTCTGTTAATATTTTGTTGTTTTTTTTTGTTCATAAAAGATGGACGGATATAATTTAAATAATAAAATCGTACTGATCAGTTACATAAGCAATTTCAAATAACTTTTATTTTAGGAGATATAAAATACGCTTTATATTGTTCCCTCAAATTCGATCTGAGAGGGGAGGAACCCTTATGATCGGTCAAACAAGGGTAAAGTTTAGATATACCTATCTAAGTCTATAAAACGTATGTGATGAAATAGAGTATTGTAGGGCTCTGCTATATCGGAAGCAGTAAATCTAATATCTTAAGTAGTGTCGATGCTTTAACTAGTGATTAAAGTAATACATCTATTCTATCTTCTATATATATAAAAATAAATTGCTGTTCGTTAGTCTCGCTTAAACTTGAGAACGGCTGAACAGATTTATCTTATCTTGGCCTTGAAATGTTTGTGGAGGTCTATGGAAGGTTTAAAAAGTGAGAAAAATTGGAATAAAAGACGGGAAAACCTTTAGCAACCTTTTTTTTAAATACGCGCGAAAGGAGTCGCGGGCGACAGCAAGTTTTTTACATATCTAACTAACAATATTCTTGCCTTTCCAGAAAAATATTCGAATAATATTATTGGATGTTACGACCAACGAGCTTTTTGCTTGTTTTGAGCAACTAAAAAACGCGAAAGTTACTATAGCTACTCATCGCACTAAAATGGTAGACATCAAATGAAGACCTCTACTCTATTATTACACATAAAAGTAATTATAAAAACAGACTACACTTCTTACATAACTATCCTAATGTTATGTAAAGTAACACGCGCTGGATGTAGATTATGAATTTTCTTTTGTAGTAAACATAGTCATAAAAACAGTTTTTATTAACTAAGCTGTAATGAGATGCCACAATGCAAGACTCCGCCGTGCCGCATATAAGGCATCTCCTATGTATAGTTCTCAAAATTTTTAACATCACAATATTTGTATGAATTTATGAGCACTTCCAGATGCAGATGGCCTGGTTACCGCCAAAGTATATATAGCAGATGGTGGTACATTCATAGGTGATCTCGAAACCGTAACTCTCGCCGACAACCACGTGGAAAGCGGGGCCAAACTTCTTGTCCATAGACTCCTTGACCATGCGTGCCGCCAGCTCGTTGTTCTGCGAGAACTTCTCGCACGCCGTCACAGACAACTCCACCGCCTCCGTGCGCATCTCCTCAGACATATCCGAGTGCTGTAACATATCCAATTTTATATATTCACAAACATAAACATATAGATTTACTATCTTACAATTAAATAGTTCCGCAGTTAGTTCTTGTATGGAGTCTTGCGTAAATCTCCAGTGGCGCGGCTTGTCCGCTAATTGTATTAGGAATGAGTACTAAAGGAAGGTTTTGGTAAAGAAAAATGGGTATTTATAGAGTACAATGTTATTTTTTGGTATAATTAAAGCAACGTATGCATGATTGATTGAACCTTTGCTCGTTAGTTATTAGTCGATTTATTTATTCAAAGCTTCTGATATTGTAAGAGCGCGGGCAAACTGTGTTGTGATGAGTGACGGCTGACGTATCGTCGGAATTCTCTCCTTCAGTCACTTAGTCCAACTGTTAAAACAAGCGCGGGCTTCCACCTCCGCCGCATTGCAGGAAAGAATATTTAGGATTTGGGATTTTTGAAGTGCGGGCAATTTGCCAGTCATTAAGAATAATAAACAGAGTCATTCAAATAACCATAAAATTCACCAAAATTGCAAAATATCTTTGGCAATAATCGAATTCGTCGTAATAGGTATCCTAAACTTATATTATAATTATGTTTGAAAATTAGCGTTCTCGCAATCAAGCCTCTATTCTATTCTCCCTCGACTTTATTTACGCAGGAAAAAAGTAGCTTATAATATGACTGCACGCATCTTTCGATCAAAGATTTGAATGGCTACTAATAGGCTCCTTAAATACTAAACCGATTTTAAAAAAATATTTTGTTTCTGGGAAGCCACACTATCCTTGGTAGAAAAAAGCTTTATTTTTTTTACTAGACTTTTTAATTCCACACGGAAGAAGTCGCGGGCAAGTGTTAGTATAGAATATAAATACATAGACATTTCTTTTCTATCGAATATACATAAAATACACGTGCAAATGTAATCGGAGATGTCACGGTGAACGGTGGCTGGTGATGCGCAAGAGTGGAGCTTCGTCGTCGGCCTCGGACCTTGACTTACCTAAGCTATTTCACTGTACCTACCTACCACTTTCATGATACAATTATAGTTTTTATGGAAAAATATTCTTGAAAATACATAACAAAATGAACTTTTTGTCAAGAAGTCAATACAATTGCGAAAGTCGAAATGAGAAGAGCGCACTTTATATAGAGCACTTCTCACGATTAAAAAATAAAATTACATTTGTAAATAAAGCCTCACTGGCATTAAGAGAATACAATTAGATATATAATAATTAACAAATTACAAGATTTTCAAAATAAATTAAGTATATTTACCCTTACAAGTGGATATGTATGAATAATTTTCTCGGCCGTCGCCGCTGCTGCACCTTCTTCAGCCATCGTAAATCAAAAAACCACTAGATTAACAACTATATTCTCAAATATTCAACGCGAGATGCAAATACTAAAAAATAACAACGATAGCGCGCGACTAAGCCCGTGACGTCTCTTCTCCCCACTGTTTATGCGTCGCCTTGGAAACCGACAGAGGCGGCCTGAAAGATACGATTGATTTTTCTCATCATGTGAGTGTTGTATGTGTGCCAAGCAATAATAAGTCTAAACGTGTATGGACTAAGGTTTAATAACGAGTTTTCTAGAGTTTTTCTTTTGCATCACCCCATCACATTGTCAATTATATTATTTAGTATTTATAGATTGCTAATAAATACTATTTTAGCTTTAACATAGTAATAAAAATATATGTAGGTAATGATACAAGCGACCTATCCCTACCTACTATTCGACACCCCGCGTTCACCTTCGTTACATATGAATTACGCGCCTTTTCGATTTCTATCGCCGCTCAATTCCTTTTCACCATTGCAACATGATTAACCTGCGATAGATTACATTATTTATAATATTGATTAGTGTACTATGCACGCAATAATTACTGCTGCTCCCACAAGTAATTAATATTAGTAATATAATTATTGTAAAATGTTGTTGCAAATTATTTAAATAATGTTAACATCAAGTTAACATTATACGAGATTTCGTCAACAGCTGCCAATTTCCTGTTGTTGACAGTTGACATATTGACATTAACAATGACATGTTAACATGACAATATCAGATGATTAGATATCAGCTGAAAATTGACAGTGTTTGTATTTATATTCTACAAAGTATTGTGTTTTTATAATTTTATATTCATGTCCTTTATGTTAAACAATACCTAAAAATATCTAGATAAATTAAAATGGCTTCTAGGTTCAGTGGTGCTTTACAGTTAACAGACCTTGACGATTTCATTACTCCGTCACAGGTTAGTAAAACAACCTCGTTTTGTTACTTATTAAATATAATTTTGGAAAAACTGCTCTTGTAATATTTATCAGCTTAATGATTAAACAATTTGTCACTCTTCGACTAAATTTTACATTGTGGAACCCGTAATTTGAAAAGATTTTCTAGATCAAAATTTACATACGTATTTCAATATTTACGTGTCATCGGAAAAAAGTATGAAATGAAGTGTAATAAGCTCATAATAATATATTGTTTCCAAACAGGAATGCATAAAACCAGTGAAAATAGAAAAAACTAAAAGTAAAACTGGCGCGAAAATCAAAATAGGCGAAGATGGATATTTCGATATATCAAATGGTCAAGAACAAAAACTACAGAAAGTCGAGATCACACTGGCCGATTGCCTGGCGTGCAGTGGTTGTATTACCTCTGCCGAGAGTGTGCTGGTCACTCGGCAGAGCCAGGAAGAGCTGTTGAGGTCACATCAAATATCAATAATAAATTATTTAAAACATAATGTGATTTAATATATTGTAATGCAGATGTATTTGGGATTTATTTTGAGGAAATTGATGAACATGGTGGTCTGTTAAAGTTTTTTAACTTAAAAAAAAAACAGATTTAGCAGTTCCTTTTGGCACTGTGTCTGTGTGTATGAAATAAATAAAAAAATAGATTCTTAATATTTTAATTAGCATTTTAGCAAACTATGAATATTATTAAAATTTAAAATGTAATATGCAGAGTCCTATCGGAGCGTAAGTACACAGACACAAGAGGGAACACCAATGAGGTGAGCCTGGTGGTGGTATCAATGTCCCCGCAGCCCGTGTTGTCTCTCGCTGCACGCTACAAGCTCAGCCCCGATGATGCTGTAAAGAAACTTGCAGGTACACATATTGATTTTCTTTTCCAAAATACAAATAATATGTGACATAAATATTTCAGTCCTTAATATTATTAAAAAAGGCCACTTTATAATTATAATTTTTATTATCTTTTTAGGTTACTTCAAGAGCATTGGTGTAGACATAGTTCTAGACATGACGGTAGCAGAAGACCTTTGTCTTCTGGAGGCTCAGCAGGAGTTCCTACAGCGCTACCATGAGCAGCAAAGCGATCCCACCTCTAAACAGTTACCTATGCTCTCCAGTTCTTGTCCAGGTAAGTGGAAATAAAAAGTATAAATACAGCGCCATCTAGTGGTTTTATCGCATTGAACAAAGGGCATAATTGTGGAGTTGAATGGATCTGGTTGTAATTTGAAATCGGAAATATTACTGTCTGCAATAATGCATAGGTTATTATTTTTTACAAAATATTTTTTTTATTGAGTTTGGGTCTGAAAATAAGTACCTACACGTAATATGTTATTTGAGCTCCCCTACTCGTGATGTTTCCTGATTTTTCTTTACCTTCACTTGCTTTACTTCACCTTGCTTTGTGGATGATCCCTATGTTATATTGCAGGTTGGGTGTGCTACGCGGAGAAGACGCACGGCAACTTCATCCTGCCGTACATCTCTAGCACCAAGTCCTCGCAGCAGATAATGGGTGCGTTGGTGAAGGGCGAGATGTCGCGGCGGCGCGGCCTCGCCCCCGCCGCCCTCTACCACGTCACCCTCATGCCTTGCTACGACAAGAAGCTGGAGGCCTCCCGCGAGGACTTCTACACTGAACTGCTCAGCTGCCATGACGTCGACTGTGTTGTTACTGCTAGTAAGTTGTATCTTATATCTTTATTATATCTCTGTTAATCAGAAGAAATATATATTTTTTTGGTTGAAATTAAATATTTTCTTTTTTTGTACATACTTTCCGAAGGCAATTGTTTTTGTAATCATTCATCGTCAACAAATTTAATTGTTTTGTTTATTATGGGTTTCCAAAATCCTCAATTAAAATATATCGTTATCTCTGTATTGTTAAAGAAAATATCCGGGATGATAACGTGTTACATACAGAGATTTTGGTCTTAGAAACAAACAGTATGACAGCAAATAACTTCAAATATTTTTTTTACTGAAGGGAATGCAACCAAAACACATGAGTATTAGCTTTGATGAAAATATTTTTACTTACAGTCGAGTTAGAACAAATGCTGAGCAACAGTGGCAAGTCTTTATGCGATGTGAGCGAGGCGGAGCTGGACGCGGTGTGGGGCGGCGAGGCGGAGGCGCCGGGGCTGCGCGGACACGCCGGATCGGGCTCCGGGGGCTTCGCACACCATGTTTTCTTACACGCAGCTGAACAGCTGTTCGGGATCACCGACCCCACGATGGTATACAAAGAATTGAGGTAAGATCATATTGCTAAGTTACAGACTGCTAAAATTAAAAAGTATTTTGGATAACAAAAGTACTGGGTAACATAAAATTTGCATGATAAAAAAGCACTCATACATTACTCACCGCTTTTTCCTTCTTTTTTTGAAGAGAAAATAATCTCTAAATTTTTTAAATACCGGTCATGTGATGCAGTGATAAGGGCAGTGACGCATCGTGTTTTATATTTGAGTGTGTAAAGGGAAGTTTCTCGCAACCGTTTGAATATGCATCGAGTGACCGCAATGCAGAACAATGCCGCTCGTCACCGTCACCCCGCCTCCCACCTCCCTCTCACCCCCCCTCTCACCCGCGTCCCTCACCTGATATGTCGCAAACTATCTTACGAATACTATCGTACATACTTACAGTATTGGGTTCTAAATGTTTTACCATATTTAGTGCACACGAGGTTGTAATATTAGGGACATACAAAAAATCTTTACTGCCTCACATAAAGTCGTTTAACTAGTACTTGAATAGTTGTTCAGTGTACATTTCTGGTATCAAATTTTTACTAAACAAGAATTACTTTACAAGTAACGGGAAGATTCGGTAATTAATTAGTCACTAAGTCGGACCCTTAGTCGAGATGTTACACATTTAGAGACTAGTATAGTTTTGAGTGCAGCATTGAGTAATTTTTCTAGACTTGTTATTTTTATTTGTGTAACAAATTGTGTCAGGAACCCTGACTTCAAGGAGTTGACGCTGGAGCGCGAGGGGCAGGTGTTGCTGCGGTTCGCGGTGGCTAACGGGTTCCGCAACATACAGAACCTGGTGACGAAGCTGAAGCGCGGCAAGTCCCCCTACCACTACGTCGAGGTCATGGCCTGCCCCTCCGGTGAGATGTCTTATATTCTGTCAATATCAACACAAAAATTTACAAAAAAAACATATTAAGGAGTAGGGATGATTAAAGAAATTAAATCGCTTCCCACTTAAGATCAAATATTGTACAGCAACTGATCAACATCAGAGCTATACGCAATTACTAATGTAATACGTATTCGACGTAATCGGATGGTCATTGTCAAACGTCGTTTTAATTAACTGGTTAGGAAATTAACTTCCTTAACTGTACAAGTCAGTCCTGCTTATTTGGTATGAAGGATTATTCCTTGGTACAGGTTGTCTGAACGGCGGTGCACAAGTGCGTCCTAGTGACGGTGAGAGCGGGCGCGAGCTCGTGTCGCGGCTGGAGGCGGCGTACGGCGCTCTGCCCCGCGCACAGCCCGCGCGCTCGCACCTCGCGCCGCACATCTACCACTCCCTGCACGGCCCCGGCTCCGACAAGGTTAGGGCCATGCTGCACACCACATACCACGCCATACAGAAAGATGATATTGCACTCAATATTAAATGGTGATCATTATTTATGTTGCAATTATTGTTATTTTTAGACATTATTACTAAGAAACATTTGGCGCGAATTGCGCGCTTTCGTTACAAAGTCAAATGTCAAAATGATTAGTGAGGGGACATAAACGTTGACATTTTAATAAGGCTAGTGTCGGATTTTCTTCCTTACATTATGTTTACTTGAGTTTGAGGTGATTTAGAATTAATTAATATTGAAATCTCCACTGACTTATGTCAAATGTAATATAAATATTGTGCAATGTAATAATAATTTTATAATAGATTCAAGATACAGTTCCGTTATCTTTAATATTTAATGTAATATGAATCTAAGTTTGAAATGGATACGTTTAAGTTCAAAATGTTTTGTAAATAAATATATTACGTTAAATGTAAATAGAACGAAAAACAAGAGTTTTATTTTTTGCCTTCTATCCTTATCATTATAGTAAATAAAAGAAATATGCGTGTTTCATAAAATAATGTGCGGGTCAAAAACCTTGATCTGTCAAAAACTATTTCCGGAAGTAATGTCTTTTTAATTTAGCAAGGTTTTGATAAACTTCAATTTTTTTTAATATTCATATTTATAATTAAATTTCAAAATTGGGTTTCATGCAGGTCTTTTTTTAATTTAAAATATAAAAATCAAGTATTTTTAAAATGGTCACAAGTTTTCATTCTGAACACAGTCTTCAGGTGACCACTGGGTCTCGTTACAATTTGTTTTGTACAATGTCGTATGTGCTTAATGTTTTTAACCGATTTCATATACAAGACATACGTCACAAATGTATTTAAAGCAATTATATGTTAATTTTTTATTTAGTAACAAATTGTTTATACGCTGCGATGTCGGAACGATTACGATTATTCATAGACTTTTAATTATAAAGATAATCGTTTAAGAAATTTCGCATTGAAATATCATCCAAATAACTTGCTAAATTCAGTATCTATTAACAAATAGTAACAATCATCTAAAACATTTAAACTAAACGTACACGAGATGGTAATGCCATAGGCTGATGTTTTTTATTTGCTGCTTTATATCAATCTTTTAATAACTACTCTCTTATTTGTAAAGTGCCATTTACAATATAGTGACGAACAAAATATAAAAGTTTTATAAATATATCGTTACGTATAAAACTAGTGGTGTCGTAGTGCGGTGTATAATGAATCGTGGCGTTGTTGTGAGCCAGTGCGTGCGCGACGATACCGCGAGACCAGTGTAGCACTGCCGGCTGTTTACAAAACACCGCTCGTACCTCCGATTTGTTCCCGCGCACCGCAGACATGGGGGACTTCCGCACGTGCGCCGCCACCACCCTATACCTGCTCCTCCTAGCCAGTGTTGCCAGGCATGTTCTACCCACGGGACTCGGACAATGCCCCACATTTGGACAGCTCCAGGATTTTGATATTAATAAGGTAAGTCTTTCGAATATTTTCTTGTGCTATTTTAATTGGAAGAAACAACAATGTTTGACGGGGATAGGAAGTATTAGTTTTATATCTGCTAAATTATTGACTTTGCGTCTGTAGTAAGCATTTTTCTTTCTATCCACTTCTATGAAGAATAGCAACAATGTCTTTTCATTGTTGCGGATGTTGATAGTTAAGACACAAAATATCCGGTTGCGTTTGCGCTTTTCTCTGCATAATTATTTTAAAAATATCTTTAAAGTGTCGAGTTGTAAGGAAGAAGAAAGTAACCAAACCTCTGATTTATTTGTAAAAATATTAATATATAAAAATTGGTTTATAGCAAACTAATAAAAGAAATTAAATTAAATTGGTGACAATGCTATTTTATATATTATATAAAGGTGATGAGAGTTCCGGTATTAACATGCATTAAGAATCTTACGTCACGCTAATGTTATATTAAAATTTGATAGTACTTCGGCCGATACAAAAAGTTCAGTTAGAAACTAGATGCTAACATTGAATCTCACTCTACTTATTGTGATTGTAAACACGGAACCAACATCAACAATCCGCAACGTGTTTCTTTGTTACTGTTTATACAAACAACAAATGCTTTCGTTTTTGATTTTACTCAAAGTTCATTATACACCAATTCTAAATACCTAGCTATTGTCTTAGATACGAACGTATAAAAATGCGTATTCGGGGTAAACCAAAAACGTAGTTATACTTTGATGAAAGTAAAGGAATAGTCACCTTCACCTTGTTAGCAACAGTCCCGGCTAAACTTTACATATAATTAACATTTCAATTTACAACAATAACAAACGATTATTTCAAATTTAAATAGTTTTTCCTTATATAGTTACTTTTTTTTATTATTTTTTATTTTGAGGCGGCAAACGAGCAAGCTGTCACCTGAATTCGCCGAGCGCCAAAGCGACTACTGCCCATAGACATCTGAGATTGCAGATGCCTACCTCTAATTGACGGGGAGACGCACAAAAAGTTAATATTTCCCCGACCAATGCGTCCCTTTCTCCATCAAATCTCCTTCCGATCCTTTACTTAAAAGAAAACGGTGGGAAGGGAAAGAGGTTTAAAATTAGGCCTCCGGAACGCACACTTTCCAGATGAAATGCGGAATTACTTCCACTTCACGCCTGTCTTATGTGTGGTGGTGGTATTGCACTATGCGAGCTTGCACATTCGTGCAATAGAATTTGTTGCTGGCGTCTACCACTATTTGGCAAGGGGCTACGTGTATAGGACGGCTAACCGCCGAACAAGTATTAATCGTGCCTTAATTAATTAATCTTGAAATATATACTGGTCTTATAATTTCAATGCAACTGTGTAACAACTTTCGTGGCATAAACAGAATACTTTCCAATGTCAAGCCAAGTGTCCCGGCCAAAGGCGAGGGCACAATGTTGCCGCGGAATAATTTAAACAATGCACTTCGGAACTCAATTAAAAAGTAAATAAATCATGATGGAGCAAAATATTGCAGTTAATGCTGATACATTGCACGTAAATATGCATAATATTATTAGTGTTGAACATTAATGTTTATTTTTCCTGAAAATCAATAAAACCGATTTCATATTCTTGTACAATTATATCTTGTATTATTTCGTATCGTCAAACTATGCGTGTGCTATCCAATGATCGAATTTTCGAAAATTAATCTTTCTTCTTTTTCCTTATCACTCGTGTCTCTTCTATCTTTAAAAAAACCTGGCGACGTATAGACGAAAAGAAAAAAAATGTAATTGGAGGTATTTGGGAGTAGTTCTATTCTATAGGGCACATTTTTAATATACTCTGTCTCTTTATGTATAAATTCTTCATTCCTAAAGGTAGTGACCTCTTAGTTGACTTTATCTAGTATTTTTCTGTACTGATTCTGTACGGTTTTCAGCGATTTGAAGCTGCTACCATGGTTTGTTAGTAATAGTAGTATGTGTTTAGATGGTGGGCAAGTGGTACGAGGTGGAGCGGTCGTTCTACCTAATGGAGCTGTCGGCTAGCTGCACCGAGCTAAGGGTGAAACTCAACAATCGCGGACAACTCGATATTGTCATACACACCAGAAACAGATGGTAAGTCACACTTTATAAGGCCATTGATTATGCGTTGGACTTCCTGAATTTGACTTTTCCCCAACTAACTATAAAATGCGGTGCAGTGGTGTGATCCGAATTTTATTTTCTTTGGTTAAGCGATTAACAGTACGTTTACTCGACTTAATATGTAAAATGTTGTTTATAAATTGCCATATAGAACTAAAATAAGTAAGACACGTTAGATGTAAAGATGCCCTTTATACTGTATCGGAATTCTGTAAGGTTGTCGAACTTACGTCAGATTTTGACTGGAATATACATAATGATTGTATGTATTTTTGAGGACGGGCACGCACTGCATAACGCGCGGCATGGGCGTGATGAGCCACGACGGGGCGTCATCGTTTCGGTACCGGGTGCACAATCGGATGCCGTACGTGATCGGGCGGCTGCTACCGGGCGCGGGACAGTATAGCATCCTCGCCACTGACTACGACCATTTTGCGCTGATCTGGTCCTGCACTGGACTCAGCCTCGCACATTCAGGTTAGATTTTCATATTTAACAATAGCACGCAGCACGATAACTTAGAACTGATATTAATGGAACGCTCTTGAAATAATCTTTGGCTTTACAATTGCAACCAGATAAGAAACTGTTTTATTTTGAACTGTCCGCAGACCGGATGTGGGTGCTGGGCCGGAAGCGAGAGATCGACGCGCAGCTGAGAGCTTACATATACAACTTACTGAACAACTTCGGCATGGACGCCGACCGACTCATCCTCTCCAAGAACAATGATTGCCCGGATTATGATAAAAATAATACCAGAACAGACTGAAACGTAGTTTTACTTTACTATTCATAGTATTTTCTAAACTTAAGTGGGTCAAGAGTTTTAAACTGTCTCATACGGTTGATTTTTTACGAACAGTATGCTTGAGACATGTGAACTATAATTTTTACAATATTATTCACCAAACTATCTGTCAAAGATAGAGCGAGCGTTTTTTATAGGCTCAAGTATAGGCCTAACTCACTGCGCCCCGAGAATATCGCGAGGCGGTTTTTATAGCAAAAAATCCTCAATTTTTCTTCGTTTGAAGCTATGACGAAATGATCCAACGTTTGAAATCTTACGATTTCACCCGTTATCTTAAACGTTAATAATAAAGTAACATTTTAGGGAAAATAAAATAAACTTTTTATACACCACACTTGCTATTTTTTTTAGAAAAAATAGTATCGTTTATTTACAAGAATTATACAGATTAAATAAAGAAATCAACGGGAAAGTTTGAAAATACAATTTTACAACAAAAAATCATAAAATATATATATAATTGTATACATCAATAATACATATTTGAAAATCGTAAAAATGAATATTGTTACACAACACTTTAGCTGCAAGAATTCCTACTTCAAGATATAGTATCAATACAAAATACACAGACGTAGACATTTTAAACATTTATGATTTACATTAATATAGAACTTTCCAGTTAATAACTACATGAATAAAAAAAGACCTTCATTCCACTAGGCGACTACCCGTGTGCTATTTTTACTTTGACAGCCACGATCACAGTGAAAATGGTACATACAAAGAGCATAATAAAAGCAGACACGCTACAAATCGCGCTAGTGAAAAAGAGTCTTAATATCGTTATGTATGAACACAAGAGATTTTCTTTTAATAGATTAAAATTTACAATTTGTATACCAATAAGAGATATTTTTCTATTAACACGGACAAAATCTATAGGAGTACATGAGATATTAAAATGGCTAAAAATTTATTTATTAATTTATCTTTCGCGTTTAAAAATTTAATAAATAAGTTTGATAACATTATTATAAAGGTAAAATAATATAATAAAAGTGCCTTAATAAAGCAAATTTACTATCAATTTGTTGTAAATTAATTGAGCACAACTTGAATTGTGTAAATCAAAAAATCGCGGGAAAATATTGCAGAGATGGCACCATCTATCAAAAATTACGGAACTTTTTTTTTCTAAAAGCGGTTTTTATGACACTATACCAACAAAATCCTTTGTATACAGTCACATAATGTATTGTGTTATGTATCTTAGATAACCAATTTTTATGTGAGCCTTAAAAAATAAATCTTTTACTGAGGTATTTATGGGTTTGGTTGAAATATTTGGTTTTGTATCTATATAAAATCAAGCACCATACCAAGAAACATGAAAAACTGTGTCAAAATTTGATTGTTATAAAAACCTAAAACTCTATGTCCTAACTTTAATAAAATAAAATTATGTAAAGATTATTTAAAACTTAATTTTATAAAATTAACCAACACCTTTATTATAATACTATCGGAGGCATAAATGCATTATAAATTTTCTTTCTAAATCATAAAAAATTCGGAAGAAATATAATTTCATCCAATTTAATTTGTAGTTCCCGCCACACCATCGTATTAACAGACGTAAAAAAGAACGCGATACGAATTAAAAATGTTCTATTTCGTTCTCGCTTTTACACATAGCATTGTCTTGCTCACTCTGTGATATTTGTGACGTTTCAATTCGCAGTTTATGACAAAAATTCTATGACTTGAATGTTAGCTGTTGAAAGAATGGGGAATTGGAAAAATAAACAGATTAAGAAAGAAGCTTTGGTGAATAGTATTCTTGTAAAAGAGAATAGTAGTCTTGTAAAAGAGAAAAAAGTAGAAATAAGAGCTATATACTATTTTAGGCCATAAGTATACACAATTTTTTCACACAAATATAATTAATAAATAATTTTGAAAGTACATAAGCGAGAAATAGATTCTAACCTCTTTTAACTTTAAACACACAGATTTATTACAATTATTCTTTTTTCGTAATTTTATTATTTACAAGTATTTTTACAAATATAATACATGTTTATAAAGAATTTTGTAAAAATAAACAGATGAAAAATTACTAAAAAAAAAGTCACTCAAAAAATATTTAACAGCAGATTTTAAGTACATACATATATAGATAATAAATATATCATAATGCTTTGATTTTAGTATCAGATAGAAACAATATTGTTACGAAAGAGATGAGATTGTTTTAATAAGTGTGTTATGTGCCATTTTTATTATATTTTTATAAAAAATAAAGTAAATATTAATCTTTACATACAATAAACCTCCATAATGGCACAAGCCAATCAAAAATTTATACATAAATAGCTAAAATTACATGCCGACCTATCTAGTAACACTCAGTCATAGATAACAAATTTTTTATATAAGTATAATATAAAGCCAAACTCTATTGGACAACTGCATAATAAAATACTAAAAGTGTCCCAATAGGGTTTACATAGAATTTAAAACATGCACAATAAACAGTCAAAAAAACAAACAGTAAAATTATCCATAAAACATAAAAATAACTTAAACTTCTCGAAATGCACTTGATTGTAAAAATAATGATAAAATAAACCCACCAGTGTATTAAAATAATAAACAGTGCAACTTAAATTATGATTTATGAGCACTAAATATTTGTTTTTAAAAAAATTACCACTTAAACATTATTTTCTTTGATGGCAACACAGTTTGTCACTTCATTAAGTTTGACACACTCCACTTCGTGACTTTTGCTGTCATTTGAGGTTACACTGTCAGGTGTAACATCACAATGGTTCTGGTAAACATCATTGGTATGAGAGAGGTCCAGGATGCAGTTCTGAAATGTGTACTGATGCATCCAAAGCTGTTTCTCCTCCACTTCTTTACTTACTACTACAAATAGTTCCTTCTCTTTGCATTGCAATTGTTCTTTTAAATATGCAATCAGATCTGTGCTCTGAAAAAGTTTGTAATAGAAAATTATAATAATATTCATGAAGGGGCAAAAAATTTAGTTTCATTTGGATTTAGATCTTGAACAATAGTCGAGGTTTTTACTGTGTGTTTGTTAAAGGTCAAATGTAATTTTACACTAAATTTGGAAACACAATTAACTTAAAACGATGAAAAACTAATAATAAAAGTAAAAAATTAAAAATATTACTATTGAGAACAATTTAAGATAGTATAACTATAGAGAAAGGAAGAAAAATAGAATTGTACAAAGATGTACACACCCTTCCAATTAAAGTTGGTGTATCAAGTTTAGAATCAAGATTATAGAAGTTGCCCTGGATCTGTCTGATTGTGATCCAGTGTCGTCTACGGAGAGGCAGCATCACAAACCCAAGCTTATAGTCCGACGGCACATTCAGAATAAACCCACAAATATTTGACAAATCCAGGCATCCAGGATCTCTGTGAACAATTAGGGTTAATAATAATTAATAAATTAATACAGCTGAAGATATCCTATCCAATCTAATTGCAATCTACATTCCATCTATCTAAAATTGAAAATATTTAGTTCTTCCTTGAAATGTACATACAATTTATAAGAATAAATTGTTTATTCATAAATTACCATCTGTAAAATCTACATTCCAAAATAAATTTACTCACTTCCTTTTGTCAAACCAGACAGCTTCACAACCTTTTTTCTGCAATGCAGCCATTATAACATTTATATCATAATTCCCCAGACCCAGCATTGATCTGTGAGGATTTATCCAAACATTTGGTGATAGTCTGCTGCATATTGAATCCAATTCAGATTTGGAAAATGTATTGCGCATCTAAACAAAAATAGAAATTAAATTAGTTGTGCCTACTTTAAAACACGAAGCGGATTTAGGTATAAAATAATTACTTAATTAGGGGTTGAAATAAAAAAAACATTTTAAAAGAGATATTTAATCAAATTACTCTTGGATACATTTGTCTACTTGATTGATGCTTGATGATGCTAAAGTAAAATTAATAATTTTCGTATTAGATAAATGTTGGATATATAGTATAAAATCTATAAAAAAATTACAAGATATAGGGAGAGCACTAAGTAAATTAAAAAATCGTCAGCAACATCCTCATAAGAAATGTAAACAAACCAGACTAATATATTTTTAACGATTTCGCATCACACTCGCTTATAACGTCCATAAAATCATAATTAGAGCCTCATACAAACCCACCTGAAATAAATTATTAAGCGCATGCAAGGCGCATAGCTCTTTAACCTGTTTTTCGTGATAAATCGGCGTTTTAGAATTCATCTCTTCAATTTTATACTGACACGATATTGACACAAAAACACATTTTAAAACACTGTACAATATATAGCTACACAGACTATTTTTACGCTATTATGAGATATTAGTTAATTCAATGCAATAAAATTAATTTTGTGTATTATAAATCTTATACTTGACAATTTTAAGAATTTGACATTTACCCTTTGACACATACATTTTAGGCGCAACACAGATGATCTCACTTTGTCATTTAGTGTATTAGGGAGCAGATTAAAATAATAAGTCCACAAAAAGCTCATGGATAACCATACCTAAGCATTTAAGACGATAAGTTAAAGTAATTTACGAATTGGATTTGCTATAGTTGTGTTATACAAGTATTTACAATTAATTCGTCATCATCTGTCAGCGCACAAGGTTCCCATTTTAGTCATTTTAGTTTACGTTCTAGTCACTGCCTTCATAGTCATCTCTGGTTTCACAATCCATCCATCTATTTCTATGCTTATACCTTGCCTAACCCTACCATCAGCGTACCTGTCCATGTTCATAAATAAAGTTAAATTAAAAACAAATTTCAAATATTCTGCGTGAAATAAGTCGTACTCTTAAAAGTTATCAATTGCTTTGACATTCACAATAAAGAAGCAAGTGACGTTTACTTGGCTTAACCCGGGAAAAGCAAATTTTAATTGGATTAAAATTTAATTAAACTAAGTTTACTAATTGTTAATGTATGATATTATCATAAGCTAAAAAAAATGTATAATTCTCAGGGGAATAATGATTCAGATCCTATAGCCGAGGAGAAAAGCAATAAATGTGATGGTAATGATTTTAACACGCAACTAGAAATTTATCAACAATCGCTACAAAAGTACGTATTTATAAAACCATCACAATTTTTAAGTTAACGATTATAAGATCTCTTTATTTTATATATTATTTCAGCTCTTCAAATCTAGCATCTAAAATTATTCTTCATTCAGTATGCGAAACAAAAGAGGACTGCTTTAGTGATGATAGAATGAATAAAATTTTAAATAGTGCTCAAAGTTTGATACAATTTCCCGCAGCACAAAATATTAAAACATGGAGAAGCTCACTAAGGTATAAAAGACAAACCTGCTTTTGCAATTTATTTTGTTATTGTGGGCTATTCTTCTCATTAATTTTTGTTTATAAATTTTTAGCAAGATTACAGACCCTGTTAAGATGTTTGAAAAATCAATACCTCGATGTGAAAAATGCGCCAAATCACAAAACAATAATGGTTTTGACAAATTTATTAGAAATGTATGCAAATGTGAAATATGTTTGCTTGAAGATAGTAATGACAAACCAGAAGTACATACAAGTAAACCTACAAATAATGTTGAACAAATTGCAAGAGAGAAAAGCAATAAACAAAAACACATTGGTAAATCTTTGCCTTTAAAACCGGCTATCAATAAACCCAGTATTTCACACTTTAGTACTTTCATTAACAATACAGGAGATTCAAAGACTGATATTAACACAAGGACAAATTGGGAGTATGGTACAAATGAAAATACCTATCCTCAAAGTAATTTAGATAGAGAAGAAGAGGAAAATAAAGCTCATAAAAGCAATGTTGCTAAAATAACTTTTAAGACTGCTAGAGAAACATTTCTTGCATCAAATCCTAGTGCTAAAAGAGTACTTGGTGTATCCAGGAAGACTCAAGGCAAATTTGTATCACCAATGATAGCTGCACAGTAAGTTAAACAGACTTACTAACAATTTTATTTTAATTTTATTAGTATAATAGCCATAAAGTTGAATTTAATTATTTACCTATTTAAATAATTTTATGTTCATAAGGCTGGAGTCACAGACTTATTAAAAATAGACATGTTTGCATCATCAATTTAAATACTGAAATATTCCATAATAAATCCATTATCAATGACACAAAAAAAACTACATGTATTTTGCAAATGTTAGATCTGTGAAAACTCATGGTTAAACTGAACAAGCTTATTATTTTCAGGGAGAAACAAGAGAAGAATGAACCAGTTGTGAGTGACGACAGACTAAAACACATTGATAGTAAAATGGTTGAACTTATTGAAAGTGAAATTATTGATAAGGGAACTCCAGTTGGTGAGTCAATTAATATAAAACCTTCATTTAACCATTAATTTTAATTTTAGGTTGCATTTATAAAGTGTCTTTAAATAACGACCTGTAATCGATTTTACAGTGACAATTCTTGTCTAGTCTCCATTGACTACAGCATTAATAAAGAATTAACCATTGCTCCTGTGATGTTTCAGCATGGGAGGACATAGCCGGTCTCGAATTGGCCAAGTCTGTGATCCAGGAGGCAGTGGTGTGGCCACTGCTGCGCCCTGACATATTTACAGGGCTGCGGCGTCCACCCAAAGGCATCCTGCTGTTTGGACCCCCGGGCACTGGGAAGACTCTTATCGGTACAAATAGTTTAATTAGGATCATATCACCTAGACTTATTAAGTACTACAATTCATTATTACATTTACAATTTCTTGGATGCAGGTTTCTTACTTATCTGATCTTTAATTTAGTAAGCTATTTGTGTTAAAATTTATTTAAAGCTTGTAATAATGTGTTTAGGCAAGTGCATAGCAGCGCAATGCCGAGCAACATTCTTCAGTATCTCTGCATCATCCCTCACCTCCAAGTGGCTCGGCGATGGCGAGAAGATGGTGCGCGCGCTCTTCGCTGTAGCTGCCTGTCATCAGCCTGCAGTGAGTGCTATATTATTTTTGTTTTGAATTGAGAGTAATTGATATCACTCTAAACATTAAACTGACATTCTAATATGTCCAATATTTAAATAAAAATATTTAATTGCAGGTGATATTTATAGATGAGATAGACTCGCTTCTGACTCAGCGGTGTGACAGTGAGCATGAGGCCACCAGGAGGATAAAGACTGAATTCCTCGTACAATTCGATGGGGCCGCCACTGGTACTTCTAATAAACAGGCCATTACTTTTTATTTAACTCCTCGACTACCTTTCCTTATTTCTTTTGTTGTATGCAGGGGAAGATGACCGTCTGCTCGTAGTAGGTGCCACAAACCGGCCGCAGGAGCTGGACGAGGCGGCGCGACGTCGCCTGGTCAAGCGCCTCTACATACCTCTGCCTGATGCAAATGTTAGTTAAATAAATTCGGTCATATTGCCTATTGGCCAAATTGACCATTTGTAATAAACCAATGACATATCTTACAGGCACGTGAACAAATTATAACCAATCTTCTGAGTACCGAGAACAACGACCTGACGCGTCAGGATATGGCTGAGATCGCGGTGCTCACTGATGGATACTCTGGGGCGGATATGAAGTCGCTTTGCTCCGAGGCAGCTATGGGACCCATTAGATCTGTTCCTTTATCACAGATCATTAACATAGATAGAGATAAGGTTTGATATGGAATGAAATAAATATACATAAATTTTTAAAATATTAACAATTTACTTTTGTAGGTCCGTGCAGTAAGTGTCCAAGATTTTAAGAATGCCCTGCAACGTGTTCGGCCCAGTGTATCGCAGGACGATCTAGGACAGTATGTCAAGTGGAACAATACATACGGTCAAGGCTTCTAAACTGCTCATTTGTTTGTCGATTTCTAATAAATCTTTTATATTTTCAATGCGCAACTTATTTGCAATTTTTTTAAACTTGTCATAAGTCAGGAAAAAGATTTGCTCTTTGTTTTTGATAATCTAAAATTCAACTTGACGTTGACAATAAAAGCTGTCAAGGTTCCAACAAATAAAAGAGCGGGCAAATGTTTTAAATTAATTTTTGTCATTAATACATATTAAATGTGATATTCTATTGAATTATTACTTTTTATTGGTAATAGTAAAAATACAGCTTAATCATGGATCAAGAAAATAGAGTAGTGACTTTAATTGATATGGATTGTTTTTACTGCCAAGTTGAAGAAAAGCTTAATCCTGAATTAAAAGGGAAACCCGTAGCTGTTGTACAATACAATCCTTGGAAAGGGGGCGGGTAAATATTATTTAAAATAATAGTAAGTCAAGAATCGCTTATTAAAATTAAAAAAAAAAGTTGCAACATTTTTAATAAGCAGGAATCACTTATTGCACAATATTATTTCTTCAGGCTTATTTTTAAAAAATGTAATTTATTAAATTCAATCGTATATTTATTTCTTCATTACATTTCAATAATAAAGTTGTTTTGTGTAGGATTATTGCAGTTAATTATGTAGCAAGAGCTATGGGTGTAAGTCGACATTTGAGAGGGGATGAAGCTAAGGAGAAGTGCCCAGATATCCAGTTGCCCAATGTCCCATGTATAAGAGGCAAAGCTGATCTTACGAAGTATGTACAATTTCCACTCAGACATTTGATATACAAGTTATAAGCTGTGTTAAGATTTTTGTAGAAAAAATTATGTGAACATATAGGATATTTGAAGAAAAGTTTGTTTTGTTAAATAAATTTGTATTTATTTTTAGATATAGGGAAGCTGGTAAGGAAGTGGCCAAAGTCCTGCAGAGATTCACACCACTGTTTGAAAGAGCATCCATTGATGAAGCATACTTGGACATCACAATTCCTGTAAGAATTAAAAGATTTTTATACCCATAAATCCCTGTAGAATATAGAAATATGTCTCCCTTTTCTATTTCTCGCTTTCTGATAACAATTTGTACTAGTAGGAAAGATGTTCTTCTAGCATTGCTTTTTTGCCTTCTACAAACATTCATCAAATAACATCTGCTTTGTGCCGTGTTCACATACAATTATTTTTTTTAGGTACAACAAAGAATGCAAACATTGAATGTAAACACATTGAAAAAGGATATGGCACCCAACACATTTGTACTTGGATATGACAGTATAGAAGACTTCATAGCAGAGGTACAGGGCTGTAGCAGTGATAACATTGACTTTGACTATGAACAAGCAAAGCAGCTGTTAGTGGGGGCTACTATTGTGAGCGAGATTAGAGCTGCTGTATTTAATGAAACTGGTAATTTCATTGAATTCAACTTTAAAACCTCCATATTGAGTTGCTAGCTTTATTTTTACCAATAAATACAGACATGGCCAAATGTTTTCATACTAGTTTTATGGAGGAAACATCTGCATTAAGATGATAACTTAAACTATCTGTTTTAACATTTCAATAAAGGTTATTGTATTGCAGGTTATGAATGTTCAGCCGGGATTGCGCACAACAAGATAATGGCCAAACTCGTTTGTGGTATGAATAAACCAAACAAACAAACTGTTTTGCCCAAACATTGCATTGATGTTCTGTTTGAGTGAGTAACATAATAGTATAGTTGCAGCCTTTACTTTAATTTCCATTTGACACTTTTAAGTTTAGTGTTATAAAAATATATCTATTTTTAGGTCATTACCTGTAAAGAAAGTAAAAAATTTAGGCGGTAAATTTGGATACAGTGTTTGTGGTACTTTAAAAATCAGCAAAATGGGCGAACTACAAAAATTCAGTAAAACAGAACTTCAGAACAAGTTTGATGAGAAAAATGGGTAATGATAACAAAGAGCAGAATATGTGAGTTTTGAAAAAATATTTACTTATTAGATTTTTCTTTCAGTTTGTGGCTGTACAACATTGCGCGTGGTATTGACCTAGAACCTGTCCAGGCCAGATTCAACCCTAAAAGTATTGGCTGTTGCAAGCAGTTTCGAGGCAAAACTGCCCTTACAGACTTAGAGAGCATCAAGAAATGGTTGAAAGAACTCAGTGATGAGATAGAAGAACGACTGGAGCAAGATGCATTGGACACAAATAGAACCCCGCGGCAGATGGTCGTGAGTTTTTCGCAGCAAGTTAATGGGCGTGACATCAGCAGTTCACGGTCTTACAATTTTTTGGCAGATGATGATCTGTGTGCAGAACTTTTTTGTCATAAAGGTCTTGAGTTACTGTTGGATAGCACAGAAGGAGTCAAACCTAAAGGTAAGAAATGATAAAAGTAATTGGCTTAAGTTTAAATAACTAGACTATGTCAAATTGGTATATAATGTTTTTAACCTTTTTGTTTACAGAAGGAGAACCAAATAGACAGTTAAAAGCGCCAATAAAATTTCTGGGTATAAGCGTAGGGAAGTTTGAAGATCACTCAGATAGTAAGAAAATAAAAAAGATTAAGGACTACTTTTCCTTTGCATCTTCAATAAAAGAGGTTCCAATTGAAAATAAAGAAACAAAACCTGTGAAAAATGTAGAAGAAAAGATTGTTAAGAAAAATGAAGGCAAAGAACACATTTTCCAAAAATTCTTTAACAGCAATTTAGTAAGCACTTCTGCAAATGCAACGATAGATACAAATGATAGTGTAAGCATTGAACAAAAGGATGAGAATGTTTTACAATCCTCTCTAGATAAGCAAGAATCATTCTTTGCTAAGTTTCTTAAAAGTGAACATAACAATGATTCCTCAGGAAAAGCTAGTAGAATAGAAGAAATCAGACCTCCTTCACCTAGTTGTAATGTTATAAATTGTGGAGAAGCCAGTAACGACACTGAATACTCTGAATCAACTCTAGATATGGAGATAAATAAAAGTATATCCTTATTTGAAGATGACCCTTCAGACATAGACCGTGTTAGCAGTATGCGACAATTACTTAATAAATCTAATCTTATAGAAGAAACCTCAAATGATACAAGAGATAATAATGTAGATAACAAAAACAGCGAAAGTACAAATTTAGAATCATTCAAATGTCCAGATTGTGGTAAAATTATCGATATTAATATGATTGATATTCATGCTGATTACCATCTAGCTCTTAAACTAAGAGAAGAAGAAAGAGAGTTTAGACGAAAAGAAGTATCAGAGAAAAATAAAGATAAGAAAGTAGTTTCAGATAAAAATAATGTAAAAGAAATGACTCCCATTCGAGATACAAGTAAAATAAAGCCAGTACCAGAACAAGCAAGAAAGAATGAAGGTGCGTCAATAGCCAGTTATTTTATGAAAATTGATAATAATGTACCAACTGAGACTTGCACTGAATGTGGTAAAAAATTTCCGATGGATAAATTTGGAGAACATTTAGATTTCCATGCAGCTCAAAAACTGAGTAGAGAACTAAACAATAACATAGTTAAAAGCAATAATGTTGAGAATAGTGTTAAGAGAAAAAGGAATTCGGGGTCGCCAGTGAAAAAGTCTAAAGTACCATGTAAATCTATTGATCTCTTTTTTAGGTAGCAAGATACGAAATATTCAGCATGTGTATTGTATAGCATTTATATTTTTTTAAATATCTATTGTAAATAATTTTTTAAGTTGTTTTAAGACCAATAAAATAGTAATCTGATATTATTTTTTAATCACCATTTTTTTAACTATTGGCTGTCGCCAGTGACCCCACCGTGCTAGATTTAAAAAATACATCAAATAGTCTACATCGACAGCAAATTTCAGCGAGATCTGTGCAACCGCACTGGAGATACCTTCTAACAAACATACATCCTTCCATTTGCATTTATATTAGCACATACAAAAAGTACAGAATTAACTATTTAATGAAAATTCTGATAGGCCACTACCATTTTTTGTCAACTCAATTGAATTTGTGTCATATATATAAGAAAGTTGAATAAAAACCAAATTGTTAGAAATAGGGTTTTAATGTTGTTGTAAAACATTTACACGGCGTATATTTCGTTCTGCACCTTGCGCCATGAGTCGAGCGGGCCATGCTCGGGGCGGTACTTCACGTTGCATCCGTCATTGGCGAGCCGGCCATCATCACGCAGCTGCTCGAACTCCTCACGCTCGTACTTTGTGAAGCCCCATTTCTTAGACACATAGATCTGGAAACAATTCATTTTTTGCTTAGTAATTATAACTAATATTTTTATGTTATTAAGTTTAGGTTATTGAAATATTTTTTAGCATACTTATGAATTTTATAGCAATGTAACATTAGAAATAGTGGTCTCTGATGGTGATTCAACAAGATTAAACAGATGCAATTTTTTTATCATGCAATTCACAATTATTAGATCATGGTGTGCATTTAAGTGTTCAATTTTGACTTATGCAAACATCAAATGTTTCTTCTTAACCACAGTTTACAAGAATCTTCAAATTTTACAATGAAAGCAATTTAACATACCTTCTGGCGACCAGGGAACTTGAACTTGGCACGACGCAGAGCCTCAATGACCTGCGCCTTCCAACGGTCGCTAGAGCGCACCGACATGATGGGCTGTCCAATACGTACACGAGCTACTGTGCCTTGTGGCTTGCCAAAAGCACCACGCATCCCGGTCTGGAGCCTGGAAGACAATATTTTAAGCTATATTGTAGAGTTTAAAAATAGTGCATTAAATCTAGTGTAAAAATAAAAAAATATTAACTCATCATCCTGATTAATTTATTTTTTAGTTTAAAGTTTGCATTTTTTATTTGCAATGTCAAGATATGTTTTTATCAGAATGGAAAATATATAACCTTACATAAAACAATAATAAGTAATGAATCAACAACATATTACTTAAGTTAAATAGTAAATATATAATTTTATATTCCATAATAGAAGTCACTAACTTTATTTCTATACCATTATTTAAAAAGGGCTAATTTCTTTGTTATTTTTGTTTCTAGTAACTCTAGTAGTAATCTAGTAAGTGAGATTAATTTCACAGTAACCCGTAATTATATCTATAGGCCTGTTATTAAGGTGGATAAACTCTTTAGTCATAATTATATTGCACAATTATTTATTGAATTTGGCGCTTTTTACCCTATCCTCTTTCAATCACTGGTACTATTCATGGGTATTTCTTTAAGTAATACTTAGTACATACCTATCAGCCCCAGCGCACGATAACATTTTATTGATGCGGATAACATGGAATGGATGCAGCCTGATACGAATGTGGAACTGATCCTTTCCGCAGTTCTTCACAAGGTACTTGTTGCAGCAAATGCGGCCCGCCTCAAGCGCCTCCGAACTTAGCTGCTCGTACTCGTCAGACACTAAGTGCACGCACAGAGGGAAGTCATCAACCGCAGCTTTCTTTTTGCCCAAGTCAAAAATACGGATCTTTGGGTCGGGTACACCACGACAGAACCGTGACTTTGGGTACGGTTTGTTTTTACAGTACCGATAGCTGAAAGTAAAATATTAACATGAATAATGTTTTACAACACAAATGAGAAAACTATCAACAAATTGCATGAAAGAAATATGTTACCATCTTGCTGGTCGGCGCCCCATTGTGATCTGAAATACACCAAAAACTATAATCAATAATAGATAAACTTTGTGCACTTGAATTCACACTAAGAAATATCACACACTTTAATGGATTACAGTAGATTATTAAGAAATCATATTTTTACCTTCACAAAGTGACACCGTTTCCTTGGAAAAGAAAGATGACAAGAATGACAATTGACAAGCAAAGAGTAGTGGACTAGTGCGTGTTACGAAATGTTACGGTTTTCAAAAACCGTTAATTTTAAAATTTACCGCACTTCGACTTATTCATTTTGAAAAAGCCCAAACGATTGAAGAATTTTTGTTTTAAATTGTACAGAAAATATTTCAAAATATTGCATAAGCAAAAATGAAAATAGAGTTTTTAGTATGAACGCAGCATAGTGCAAACTATGCATATTTTAAATCTGTGGTGTTTGCGTTTAAATGTCATTGACAAATATAAACAGGCATGCGAAACTCTATTAGTCTATGGTACAAATTGAACGCAAACGGAGATCCTCCATCT